GAGAGTTTCATCTATGCTGATGATCGTGCCATCACCGCTTTGTCTATGGCTTTGTAATAGACCCAATTAGGAAATGACATGTATAACTCAGGAACAAAAAACATGTTACATATTGTAATAATTAACAATAAATAAATACTAACTTATGATAATCATCATCATCATCATCATCATCATTATGGCCTGCCTCAGAGGAATGTGCTTGCTCCATCAATGTTTAATATTTGCACAAATGATCAGTCACTGCCAGAAGGGATAGAGAGTTTCATCTATGCTGATGATCATGCCATCACCACCCATTTCAAAGGAAGCTTTGAAATGGTGGAACAGAACCTTTCAAAGCTTTAGGTGCTCTTACTGCCTATTATAAGGAAAACCAGTAACACCTCAGCAAGCAAGAGTCCAAAAGTGGCAGGTCTAAACCTGGAACCTCAGTAGGCTTATACTCGAGTATATACAGTAATTCTTCTTAATCATCATCATCATCATGGCCTGCCTCAGGGGAATGTGCTTGCTCCATCAATGTTTAATATTTGCACAAATGATCAATCACTGCCAGAAGGGATAGAGAGTTTAATCTATGCTGATGATCATGCCATCACCACTCAAGAAGGAAGCTTTGAAATGGTGGAACAGAACCTCTCCAAAGCTTTAGGTGTTCTTACTGCCTATTATAAGGAAAACCAGCAACACCTCAGCAAGCAAGAGTCCAAAAGTGGCAGGTCAAAACCTGGAACCTCAATCAGTGGCTGATGCCAGATGAGAAACTTCCTCCTGGGCACACAGAAGATGGGGTGATTTGGAAGGTGCTGAATAGACACCATGGGATGCAGAGCCAACCTTAAGAAATGGGGCTACCAAATTATTATTATCTTTCCAGGCTGATAAGTAACTATTGATCATCACCCTTTGGGTTAGTTTCTCTCATCCTGCAAAAGAAAGAAGGGGACAAAAAGGAGCCACGAAGACACAATCATAGAAAGAAGGCATCGTTTTATTATTATTTCGATCTTATCCCACAAAAAATAACCAATGCTCACTAACATTATTTTTTATTAGTATTACAATCTGTATTAAATTAACACTGTGTTAAATACAAAATACGTCCTTATTGAAACGAGAGACGAGTGGTTTAAAATACAGGCTCTTTCGCTGTTTTTTTCTTCCCGCGATGTTTTGAAAAATGGCTCAGAAAGCGTCGCCGCAGACATTCCTTCTAAAGTTACAAATTCTTCTCAAGTTACAAAGGTTAGTAGAAAAAGAACGGGGCGATCGGAATAATCCAGTCTCCGATCCCGAGTGTAGGATTGAAAGAGTTTACAAAGAATACGAAGAGCAGAAAAAGAGCCCCCAAAGTCAAGATAATGTAGATTTGATCCCAACTGAATTGCCATGGCTTGGTGCTATGGAATCCTGGGAGTTGTAGCTTTACAAGGTCACGAGCCTTGTGCCTCACCAAACTACAAATCCCAGGAGAACCACAGCAGTTTCTTTATCAGACACGAATAGGTGAAAATATTGGTATAGGAACAATATTGTATCTAGGTATTAGTTATGAAAAGTTTGTGCATTTGCCATCATGATTATTATCATTAGTATTACTACTAATAATAACAGTAGAGGTCTACTGTTGCTTCTACTATTAGACTACTACTACTAGTAATTACTAGCAGTACTAATTATCACCAGTACTGCTAGTGGTTATTATTTACTAGTAGTATGACTATTGCAACCAATAGTAGCTTACTGCTTGTAGTATACCATATTTACTCCTAGTAGTAGTCTAATAGTAATATCTAGGAATTAGTTATGAAAATTCTAGACATTTGCTATCATGATTATTATCATTAGCATTATTGCTAATAATAACTGTAGATGTCTACTGTTGCTACTACTATTAGACTACTACTACTAGTAATTACTAGTAGTACTGATTATCACTAGTACTGCTAGTAGTTATTGTTTACTAGTAGTATGACTATTGCAACCCATAGTAGTTTACTACTTTTAATATTCTATATTTACTCATAGTAGTAGTCTTGTAGTAGTAGCCATGTTGCATGGCTAGCAATAAGCAATTAAAGGGGATTAATTGGACCAGTTTTTTAGGAAGGGACAACAACCCTGGATTTCCGATCAAAATACATATAGGCAGATGGCATTTTAAGAACGGAAGTAAAAGCAAGACTCTATTGTTGCTACTACTATTAGACTACAAGTAGTAGGAATTACTAGTAGTACTAGTTATCACTGGTACTGCTAGTAGTTATTGTTTACTAGTAGTATGACTATTGCAACCCATAGTAGTTCGCTACTTGTAATATTCTACATTTACTCATAGTAGTAGTCTTGTAGTAGTAGCCATGTTGCATGGCAAGCAATAAGCATCTAATGGGGATTAATTGGACCGGTTTTTTGAGGAAGGGGCAACAACCCTGGATTTCCGATCAAAATACATATAGGCAGATGGCATTTTAAGACCAGAAGTAAAAGCAGTAATCTCTTTTTGCTGCTACTATTAGACTAGTACTAGTAGTAATTATTCATAGTACTAATTCTCACTGGTACTGCTAGTAGTTATTATTTACTAGTAGTATGACTATTGCAACCAATAGTAGTTTGCTACTTGTAGTACTCTATATTTACTCCTAGTAGTAATCTTGTAGTAGTAGCCATGTTGCATGGCCAGCAATATCAACTAAAGGGCATTAATTGGACCATGGATTTCTGATCAAAATGCATATAGGCAGAGGGCATTTTAAGACCGGAAGTAAAAGCAAGAATCAAATAAACATCGACAAATACCGTACATAGCATATATTAAAAAGTCAGACCGCTCTTCCCAATGACACCATCCCCTATATTGATTGGTTGATTGATTTGCAATTCCAGCAGAGACAGAGCACCCAAAAGTAAAGAAAATGATGCCGTAAAGAGAGGCGGAAAGGAATAATACAGAGTAGTTCACCTGTTGAAGATTGGCGGAAAGGTTTTCCAGTGTCAAAAGACTGGTTTGATTCAAGTTTCCGTAATGTGTAAGGCATGGCAACATGGGGGGCTTTCTGTCCATGTACAGATCGCGTTTGAAGTCATATCTCAAAAAGAGAATTTTATAACACAACCATCTCTATATAAAAGGCCATGTATGTATGTATTATGTATGTATGTTGGTTGGTTAGTTTGTACTGCCAAGACTCCTCCGTGGATGGATAGATGTGGACCAAACTCGGCACAAAGACCCACCATTGCCCAACTTAAAGAATGGGTGGGTGAAGTGGCCCTCTATCATGTGACTGGAAAACAAAGGAGATGAAACAGATTGCTGTTGCTAGGTGACATATGTATGTGTAGAGAGGAAGGAAGAAGAAAGGATGGATGGAAAGAAGGAAGGACAGAAGGAAGGAAGAGAAAGGAAAGGAAAGGCAGGGAGAAAGCAAAGTGAGAGAAGGGGGAAGAGAAAGGAAAGATTTGAGGGTAAGGGAGGAGGGAAAGGAAAAGAAAGGTAAGAAAGAAGAGAAAGTGGAAGGGGAAGAGAGAAAAGGAAGGGAAGAGGAAGGAAGGAAGGAAGGAAGGGGAAGGAAAGGAAAGGGGAAAGGAGGGCAGGGGTGAAAGAAAAGTGAGAGAAGGGGGAAGAGAGAGGAAAGATTTGAGGGTAAGAGAGGAAGGAAAAAATAGAAAGGTAAGAAAGAAGAGAAAGAGAAAGGGGAAGGGAGAAAAAAAGGGAAGAGAAAGGAAGGAAGGGAAGGGAAGGGGAAAGGAGGGCAGGGGGAAGAGAAAGGAAAGATTTGAGTGTAAGAGAAGAAGGAAAGAAAGAAAAAGAAAGGGAAGGAGGGGAAGGAAGGAAGGAAGGAAGGAAGGAAGGAAGGAAGGAAGGAAGGAAGGAAGGAAGAAGAGAGAGAAGAAGGGGAAAAGAGAAAAAGAAGTGAAGAGAAAGGAAAGAAAGAAAGACAGGAAGGAAAGTGAAGGGAAGCAAAGGAAAGTAAAGGAGAAGGGAGGGAAGAAGTGGGGAGGGGAGAAAGAAAAATGAGAGAATGGAGGAAGAGAAATGAAAGATATGAGGGCAGGAAAGGAAGGAAAGAAAGAGAAAGGGAAGAAAGGGAAAAAAGAAGAGACAGAGGAAGGGGAAGAGAGAAAAGGAAGGGAAGAGAACGGAAAGAAAGAAGGGAGAAAGAGGAGGAGGAAATGAAAGGAAAAGAAAAAGAAAAGAAAAGGGAAGGGAGAGCAGGGGAGAAAGAAAAATGAGAGAAGGGAGGAAGAGAAATGAAAGATATGAGGGTAGGGAAGGAAGGAAAGAAAAAGAAAGGGAAGAAAGGGGGAAAAGAAGAGACAGAGAAGGAGGAAGAGAGAAAAGGAAGGGAAGAGAAAGGAAAGGAAAGGAAAGGAAAGAAGGAAGAAAGAGGAAGGGAGGGCAAGGGAGAAAGAAAAATGAGAGAAGGGAGGAAGAGAAATGAATGATATGAGGGTAAGGAGGGAAGTAAAGAAAAAGAAGTGGAAGAAAGGGATGAAAGAAGAGGCAGAGGAAGTGGGGAAGAGAGAAAAAGGAGGGAAAAGAAAGAAAAGAAAGAAAGAAAGAAAGGGAGATAAGAAAAAGTGAGAAGGCATATAAGGGAAATGGGAGGAAAGAAAGAAAGAAAGAAAGAAAGAAAGAAAGAAAGAAAGAAAGAAAGAAAGAGCCACATTAGACAGCCAGAGCCTTCCCATGGAGACACTGTGAGGTAAGCCTTGTCAGAGCTGGAGAAGAGAGAAAGCAGGCAGACAGCGCTCATGTCCTCAAATTTCAGTCGTACATGGAAGAGATTTGGAACTGGAGAAGGACACTGATAAATGATATGGAGGGGAACAAGAGATTGTGTTTTGCAGTGAATGGATAGAGCAGGCATGGGCTAACTTGGACCCTCCCTCCAGGTGTTTTGGACTTCAACTCCCATCATTCCTAACAGCCTCAGGCCTCTTCCTTTTCCCCCTCAGCCGCTTAAGCGGCTGAGGGGAAAAAGGAAGAGGCCTGAGGCTGTTAGGAATGGTGGGAGTTGAAGTCCAAAGCATCTGGAAGGCCCAAGTTGGCCCATGCCTGGGGTCGAGGATGCCATAGCTTTCGACACATTACTCAAGAGCGGACAATAATGGCTTGATTGAAAGTGCATCACAGTTACACGAACCACACTAAAGTGCACTGGAGTACAAGATGTCACTCTTGCTTTACTCTCAGAGGTTTTCTTTTCTCTTCCCGGGAAGGAATGCTAGTCTAGGAATGGAAAGAGTGCATTTGGATGGCAAACTCTTGCCTACCCAGTATTTATTTGTGCCCGGAAAGAGGTTCGGAAGAGACCTTTCCGCCAGCAGAAAGGAAGGCAAGGGGCAACTCTCCTTCCACTTCTTCTCCCACCATAAGGAACAAGCAAATAGCTCCCAGGTTCCTTTGTGTATAAAACCACAGAAAATGAAAGCAAACCTCTAGGCATTTGGGGCCAGGACAGATTGGCAAAGGGATCAATACTAGCACCCCATCCATACTCCGGTGGAGAAAGGAGCATCCGATAAGGATGGATGAGATGGATGTGGCGTCCAATCCTTCACCTCTGAGGGTCCTTAAAGCAGGTCTGTCTACCTGGAGGTTTTGGCCTCGATGGCATCCGGCCGATAGAGGTACCTCCAAATGGCGTAATAGTGCGTTCCGGCTCCAAGGGCCACAAAGAGGTGCCAAATGGCATGGGCAAAGGGGATGCGTCCGTCGCTCTTGAAGAAAACCGTGCCCAGGCAATAGAAAAAGCCGCCGGCCATGAGTTCGGAGAGACCGTCCGTGTTGGGCTGCGACAAGGAAAGAGAAACAACTAGCTAATTAATAGGCACCCATGAAGTCATTTCGTTTCCCATGAATTTTCTCCCCAAGTTTCCCATGTAATCACTGTGATCAGCAATGCCTATTTTCTGCTCTAATCTGTAAACAATATCATTTTGTTTGTATGGGTTAAACTTTTGTGCCAACAGGTCGGAGGTTTGAATCCGGGGAGAGTGTGGATGAGCTCCCTCTGTCAGCTCCAGCTCCCCATGTGGGGATATGAGAGAAGCCTCCCACAAGGATGGTAAAACACTGAAACATTTGTGCGTCCCCTGGGACACATCTTTGCAGACGGCCAATTCTCTCACACTAGAAGCAACTTGCAGTTTCTCAAGTCGCTCCGGACACAAAAAAAATTGCATTCCAGCATATACAGAGACACACGAATCAGGGGAGAGTGCGGATGAGCTCCCTCTGTCAGCTCCAGCTCCCCATGTGGGGACATGGGAGAAGCCTCCCACAAGGATGGTAAAACATTGAAACATTTGTGTGTCCCCTGGGCAACATCCTTGCAGACAGCCAATTCTCTCACACCAGAAGCGACTTGCAGTTTCTCAAGTCACTCTTGATATGGAAAAAAATTGTATTCCAGCATATACAGAGACACAAGGCAAATATTCAGTGCCTTGGAAAAATGAATACACAGAAAAAGGTAAAGGCTTTCCCTTCAACTCCAGCTCTGGGGGTGGTGCTCATCTCCATTTCGAAGCCAAAGAGCCTGTGTTGTCCATAGACACCTCCTGGTCATGTGGCCAGCATGGCTGCACGCTCCAGCTCCCATGATTCCATAGCATTCATTTGGTATTGCAGCATTTAGATTCCATCCTTCTCACCCTGAAGGGGACTCAGAGCGGATCACAGAACATACATATACAGCAAACATTCAATGCCATTATATGCTGACCAGAAAGACATAGATGGAGAAATATACAGTAGAGTCTCGCTTCTCCGACCTTTGCTTATCCGACATTCCATCTTATCCGACGCTCTTCTCCGATGCCCCCCTTTTCCTCCAGCATTTCCCCTTCAATGAAAGGAATGCTCCCCAACTCTCTCTCCATTCCCAAAAAAAGCAAAAAAGGAGAAGGAGGAGGAAGAGGAAGGAAAGGGGGAAAAGACACAGGACAGGAAGTGGAAGCGTCCTTCCTCCTTTTCTCTGTGATTCCCACGCTCCTCTTCCACATCTGGGTGCTTCCTGCTGGGCCGCTCTAGACGTGAGGCGCTGCCTTGCCTTCATCCTTTGAGTCCCTGTTGTTAATATTCTAGGTGTCTAGCGCCGTGTCGGATGGGTAACAGTTGGAGACTCCGTATTATCCGAGCTTTTTGTTGATCCGACGTTCTGCTGGCCTGTTTATGTTGGATAAGCGAGACTCTACTGTATAGTGTTCCCTCGCTGCTTTGTAGTTCGCTTATTGTGGACTCGCTGTTTTGCGGGGAGTAGTGAGGGAACACTGCATAGCTGCTCCCTGTTCCTTCCTCACCAGACTGGGCGCCCAAGGTGTCGCACCTCAGAGTAGATTCACCTTGCTTAGAACACCACACACCAAGGCTGTAGGTTTTGTAGTTTATTAAAGAAAAGGTAAAATCTTAAACACAAAAGCAAAGTAGCAAAAGTTTAATAGTCAAACAGGGTCTTAAATGCAAAGGCAGAGTTCCCAAAGTCCAAAGGCAAATAACATCCATAAGCATTGATCAAACAAGATTCCATGGCAGCGTGACAAAGTCTCAAGAAGCCAAAAGCATTGCCCAAAAACCCAGGCAATCCCAAGAAGTTATCAGGGTGTTTGCTGAAGTTGCACTGACAAAAGGTTGCCTTCAATCAGCTCACTAAATATACTTTCCCTTCATAAAAGCATTCCTCTGACCTCTAACCTCTCTCTTGTTCACAAGCCTTGTACTACGGCGAACCCTGAGTTGCAAGCGATTCTCCCTATCTAATTGTGGAGAGCCTTCAAGGTCAAATAACTCATTAACCTGGTAATCAACAGAATCGACAGGCAGAGAGCGGCCAGGCTGACTCGCCTCCTCCGCCTGCACCTGTGAAGTTTCACTAAGATCAGAAACATCTTCTGAAACAACATCCCTCCCCAAGGCGAAACTGGAATTCCTTGTCTTCAGCATCAACATCAACATTGTCTGTATCAACAATAGGAACATGTTCAGGAATCTAAAACCCATCATCCTCTTCCAGCTCTTCCTGAGGCTCCTCCTGAGCCACAACACAAGGGGCTAATGAAGCGGGGAGCAGTGGAGGCGGCGAGGAAGAGGAGGCCACCGCCAAGTGTGTGGAGCATCCCTACCCCACCTTGGAGGCCCCTTGGGGGTCCAGCATGGCAAGGAAGGGGCCTCCGAGGTGGAGAGCAGCGGAGGCGGTGAGGAGGAGGAGGGGCCTTTGAGGTGGAGTAGGGACACTCCACCCACTCAGTGGTGGCCTCCTCCTCCTCACCGCCTGCACTGCTCCCTGCCTCGGAGGCACCTTCCCCACCAGGCTGGGCACCCAAGGGGCCTCTGAGGTGGTGTAGGGATGCTCCAACCACTCAGTGGTGGCCTCCTCCTCCTCACCGCCTGCACTGCTCCCTGCCTCGGAGGCACCTTCCCCACCAGGCTGGGCACCCAAGGGGCCTCTGAGGTGGTGTAGGGATGCTCCAACCACTCAGAGGTGGCCTCCTCCTCCTCACCGCCTCCACTGCTCCCCGCCTCGGAGGCACCTTCCCCACCAGGCTGGGCACCCAAGGGGCCTCTGAGGTGGTGTAGGGATGCTCCAACCACTCAGAGGTGGCCTCCTCCTCCTCACCGCCTCCACTGCTCCCCGCCTCGGAGGCACCTTCCCCACCAGGCTGGGCACCCAAGGGGTCTCTGAGGTGGTGTAGGGATGCTCCAACCACTCAGTGGTGGCCTCCTCCTCCTCGCCACCTCCACTGCTCCCCGCCTTGGAGGTACCTTCCTCACCAGGCTTGGGCACCCAAGAGGCCTCTGAGGTGGGGTAGGGACACTCCACCCACTCAGTGGTGGCCTTCTCCTCCTCACCGCCTCCACTGCTCTCCACCTCAGAAGCTCCTTGGGAGCGCAGTCTGGCGAGGAAGGAACAGGGAGCAGCTATACAGTGCTCCCTCGCTACTCCCCACAAAACAGCGAGTCCAGAATAAGCGAACTGCAAAGCAGCGAGGGAACACTGTACAATAGAGTCTCACTTATCCGACATAAACGGGCCGGCAGAACGTTGGATCAACACAAATCTCGGATAATATGGAGTTTCCAACTGTTACCCATCTGACACGGCACTAGACACCTACAATACTAGGTGGATTTTCACTTATTGCAGGTGGTCCTGGAACGGAACACCTGTGATAAGTGAGGGATCACCCTATAGGCTTTCCGATCTTCGGCATCTTGGAGGCTGTGCTTGGTTCTGGCCACGGGGGGTGCTGTAACTCCACTTTCCCTGCTGAAGAGCTTTGTAAACTTCCTCCTTGATCGAATCGCCGGCATTTTTCCGACATTTCCTTACAGGTGCCTTAAATACCTCCCTGCTTTAATGCGGTCCATATTTATCTACTCACATTGCTGTTTTTAAGACTGCTAGGTAGGCAGAAGCTGGGCTAAAGGTCAGGAGCTCATCCTCTCCCGGGCTTTGAACTGTCAATTTTTCGATTGACAAGATTTAAAGCAGCTGGTGGTTAACCTGCTGTGCTAAAGCCTCGGATGGGAGACGGCCGATGAATACCAAGTGATCAAATGGACCAGTTCAGTATTTGTTCTGGATTACTTACCATGGAAAGAATAACCACAGCAGGGAAGAAACCCATGATGACATAGCAGACCAGTTCGACCAGTTTGTATCTGGAGGAAGGAAAGAAAAAAAGCCTATATTGAGAAGCAGTGAGGAGGCAACATGACTAGTACAGGGATGCATCTACATTGTAGAAATAATGTGTTTTACTCCACTGAGTTGCTGTGAGTTTTCCAGGCTGTATGGCCATGTTCAAGAAGCATTCTCTCCTGACGTTGCTTCTGGAACATGGCCACACAGCCTGGAAAACTCACAACAACCCAGTAATTCCGGCCATGAAAGCCATTGTCAATACATTGTTTTACCCCACTTTAATTGCTACAATTTACTTTAATTTACTTCACTTTGGGTGTCTTAGTTCTGGATAAGGGACTGGGTTGTGGCGCAGCTGGTTGGGGAATCAGCTGCATTAAAATCACTACTGACCGAAAGGTAATGAGTTCAAAGCCAGCCCGGGTCGGAGTAAGCTCCCGACCATTTGTCTAGCTTGCTGTCGACCTTTGCAGCCTGAAAGACAGTTGCATCTATCAAGTAGGAAATGTAGGTACCGCTTTATGTGAGGAGGCTAGTTTAACAAATTTACGACGCCATACAAGTCTCCAGGAGCATGCAAAAGAATGAGGAAGTACTCCGTCGGTGTCACAAGTGGACGGTGAAGCGACAGCTCCCCCGGTGGCCGGAATTCAAAGCATACCCTCATGAAGCTGGAAAGTTAAATAGTCTCTGTGTGTCTGTCTATATATGTTGTTGTGATAGAGTCTGATGGCAGTGATAGTAGTATTAGGAGAGGCAGGAAAACTACTCGCGAGCAAGACTATGATGAAGAGCAACAGAGGAAAAGAATCCAGGAGATACTTAGTGAGCCAACAGATGAGGATTATTTTGAAGGTTTTGATGCAAATGATATCGATGATGGGATATCAGACTCTGGGTCTGATGGGTTGGATTGGACAAAGGTTCAAGGGATTAGGGATATTTGTGCTGAACCCACAAGCAGTGGCACGTTTGAAGGTTGGAGTAGTGAAGGCACGGATGGGTCTTGGGGAACTTCAGGATTAGACCAGAGATGGACTACTTGGAGGAGTGGTGGAAGAGGCACAGCTGGGGATGGGTTGGGCCGAACTAGGGGCAACTCCAGTTCGGATGAGGAGTTACAACAGGATGCAGCTGGGACAAGGGTGTTGGCTGAATCAAATTCTGATGAGGAGTTGTAGATAAAATGGGAGTGTTTGCAATTGTAACTTTGCAATCGGCAAGGTGTCTTGTTGGGCTCTTTCTGGATCATTGGGTTACAGAAGACGGGTTTGGAAGAAGACTTTGGGACGTAAGTTATGCTCTGGGTTTAAGCAGCAAAGGGGGCTGGAACTGTGTGGGTTTCTGCTGGACTGCACTGTTTTGATATTTGCATTAGCTGCCGTATTTGCATTAGCTGCCGTTGCTTTGGCTCCTTGTGACTTCCATTGGATTGGGACTTGACCTTGCAGCTATTCGTTTCCCTTCGGACTGGACTGGTCTGGACTTCAACTATCGGCGTTACTCTCTCTTCCATGTCTGCGGCTGTGTTTCTGGAGTTGCCATTATCATCCTCCCTGCATTCCTACATTCCAGCCTTGGAGTTCAGCGTGGCATTTCCTACAGTGTTTGAGGCTCGAGCTACATTTTGCAACCCTTGAAAGGCTACTGCTCACTAGAGTGGCTGTGAACATCATTCTACAGCTTGTTTTGCTGCTGTTGTTTCTCTGAGCAAGTCAGAGCTGAATTAAGCGTTTTGTGTTTAACCCGGATTATATCTCTGGATAATCCAGGTTATATTCCGGTTGGGGTTTTTTAGGTTTTTTTCCTTTTTGAACTGTTTCACACTGAAGACTAAGTGTTTTTTTGCCCTGTGGTTTTGTTTTGGGCTGTTTTGTGTTTGTTTGAGCAATAAACTATACTTCTTGAATTGGCTGGCATCTGACCTTGACATATGTTGTGTGTCTAGGGAACTGAAAGTTTGCCGTGTATATGTGCATTGTGATCCACCCTGATGAGAAGAGTGGAATATAAATTCTGTAAATAAATAAATAAAATGAATAATAATAAATAAGGCTTGCTCAACCTGCTTCCTTATAAGGAGAACTCAAAAACAGCCAATTTGAGATAGATCTGAATCAATTCCACCTTATGACTTCGATTACATAAACGGAAGAGCGGAGCAGACCATTAAAATCAGAAGTGTCCTCCTTTTAAATTAGGGTCTCCAACCAATTAGAGGAAAATCTCATTAGTTATTCATTGCCTCTTTCACAGAGATCTGGCCATTGCCTTTAAATAGGGCAGCCCATTAGCAAGAAGCTGTCTTTTGGAACTTGCAGTTGACAACTGGAAAATAGAGGGAGAAAATGTGGAGGCCGTGACAGGGTTTGTATTTCTAGGTGCAAAGATGACTGCAGATGCAGACTGTAGCCAGGAAATCAGAAGACGCTTCCTTCTTGGGAGGAGAGCAATGTCCAGTCTCGATAAAATAGTAAAGAGTAGAGACATCAGACTGGCAACAAAGATCCATTGCCTAGTCAAAGCAATGGTATTCCCCGTAGTCACCTATGTTGTGAGAGCTGGACCTTAGGGAAGGCTGAGCGAAGGAAGATCGATGCTTTTGAGCTGTGGTGTTGGAGGAAAGTTCTGAGAGTGCCTTGGACCGCGAGAAGATCCAACCAGTCCATCCTCCAGGAAATAAAGCCCGACTGCTCACTGGAGGGAAGGATACTAGAGACAAAGTTGAAGTACTTTGCCCACATCATGAGGAGACAGCAAAGCCTAGAGAAGACAATTATGCTGGGGAAAGTGGAAGGAAAAAGGAAGAGGGGCCGACCAAGGGCAAGATGGATGGATGGCATCCTTGAAGTGACTGGACTGACCTTGAAGGAGCTGGGGGTGGTGACAGCCGACAGGGAGCTCTGGCGTGGGCTGGTCCATGAGGTCACGAAGAGTCGGAGACGACTGAACGAATGAACAACAACAACAATATTTAGCAGAAGAGAACCCAAGCAAATGGTCTATTTCTCATGTTTGCAGTGGGTGAAAACCAATTCAGGAGGTAAAGTGCTTTCAATATATATTTTTTCCCCTGTCAATCAAAAGCAGAGGCAGAGAAAACACAGAAATGCATTATGTTTGTGAAATATTTCACTCCACAAGGGGGAGGTATATACCAGGTTTGTGACAGCTGCAAACCATCAGGGGGAAAGTTAAATGATATTATCCTTCCGCATTGCACACTTGTCGCAGTTTAATACCTTGTCTCCACTCCTATGGGGATCTAGGACTTGCAAGATGTTATACAGTGGCGTTCCATGAAGTGCAATAGAAAAACTACAAGTTCCAGGATTCCATAGTATGGAATCACAGCAGTTACAGAGGGATGAAACTGTACATGGATAATCTAAAGCTTTATGGAAAATCAGAAACTGAAATCGAGTCATAGAATCATAGAATCATAGAATCAAAGAGTTGGAAGAGACCTCATGGGCCATCCAGTCCAACCCCCTGCCAAGAAGCAGGAATATTGCATTCAAATCATCCCTGACAGATGGCCATCCAGCCCCTGTTTAAAAGCTTCCAAAGAAGGAGCCTCCACCACACTCCGGGGCAGAGAGTTCCACTGCTGAACGGCTCTCACAGTCAGGAAGTTCTTCCTAATGTTCAGATGGAATCTCCTCTCTTGTAGTTTGAAGCCATTGTTCCGCGTCCTAGTCTCCAAGGAAGCAGAAAACAAGCTTGCTCCCTCCTCCCTGTGGCTTGCTCTCACATATTTATACATGGCTATCATATCTCCTCTCAGCCTTCTCTTCTTCAGGCTAAACATGCCCAGCTCCTTAAGCCGCTCCTCATAGGGCTTGTTCTCCAGACCCTTGATCATTTTAGTCGCCCTCCTCTGTACACATTCCAGCTTGTCAATATCTCTCTTGAATTGTGGTGGGACAAAGGACTCAAAGCAAAACAGCAGAGGGAAAACAATCAGGGACATCTAATCACCTCTCAACAAAAGATTGCTCCAGGCACTTCCAGGCTGTCAAATGCTAATCAAGGTGGTCAGTTGAAACATAGAATCATAGAATCATAGAATCAAAGAGTTGGAAGAGACCTCATGGGCCATCCAGTCCAACCCCTCCTGCCAAGAAGCAGGAATATTGCATTCAAATCACCCCTGACAAATGGCCATCCAGCCTCTGCTTAAAAGCTTCCAAAGAAGGAGCCTCCATCACACTCCGGGGCAGAGAGTTCCACTGCTGAATGGCTCTCACAGTCAGGAAGTTCTTCCTCATGTTCAGATGGAATCTCCTCTCTTGTAGTTTGAAGCCATTGTTCCGCGTCCTAGTCTCCAAGGAAGCAGAAAACAAGCTTGCTCCCTCCTCCCTGTGGCTTCCTCTCACATATTTATACATGGCTATCATATCTCCTCTCAGCTTTCTCTTCTTCAGGCTAAACATGCCCAGCTCCTTAAGCGCTCCTCATAGGGCTTGTTCTCCAGACCCTTGATTATTTTAATCGCCCTCCTCTGGACACATTCCAGCTTGTCAATATCTCTCTTGAATTGTGGTGGGACAAAGGACTCAAAGCAAAACAGCAGAGGGAAAACAATCAGGGACATCTAATCACCTCTCAACAAAAGATTGCTCCAGGCACTTCCAGGCTGTCAAATGCTAATCAAGGTGGTCAGTTGAAACATTCACACCTAGCTCCAGCAGACAAGAGTCCTTTGTCCCACCCTGGTCTTTCCACAGATATATAAATCCATTTTCCTACTTCCAACAGACCTCACTACCTCTGAGGATGCTTGCCATAGATGCAGGCGAAACGTCAGGAGAGAATGCCTCTAGAATATGGCCATATAGCCTGAAAAAACCTACAACAACCCAGTGATTCCGGCCATGAAAACCTCCGACAATACATTGTTCCCTCATCATTCCCAAGCTTACCGTTCATGGAAAAAGAAAACATAGACGGTGCCGACGGAGGCCATGATCCACACCAGCCAGCGCATGTGCGACGCCCACGGGCCCAACTCCCGCAGGTTTAGCCTGGGAGAACAACAGAGACCATTGAGTCGTGGAGAGAAACAGCAGCCGGCAAGGTGGCCTGGGAGTCGGAGGAGAAAGAAGAGACAAGACAAAGCAAAAGACAAACATTCCAGTGCTGACTCTGCAAGGTAAGGCAAGCCGAGGGGTGTTTCGGTGGGAGGACGAAAAATGGAATTGCGTCCTATTGAGTTGTCATGGGGCAACGTGGCTTCCTGGAATGTCCAGGGTGGGAGAAAGAACCCGTGTCTGTTTGAAGCAAATGTAAATGTTGCAATTAGCAAGCTTGAATAGCATTGAGTAGCCTTGCAGCCGAAGAGTCAATTGTGAGGGTATCTGCATAGCGGTTAGCCTTGCTGTTGTTGCCTGAGGGCATCCTCTGTTTGGGATGTGTTAACTGGCACTTGATTGTTTGCAATACTCACATTTACTTCAAACAGACGAGGATTCTTTCTCCCACCCTGGACATTATTCCACAGATAGATAGATAGATAGATAGATAGATAGATAGATAGATAGATAGATAGAAGAAATAGATATAAATGTATACACCCCACTTGCCTAATTTCCAACAGATCTCTGAACAAACCTCTGAGGAAGCCAGCCACAGATGCAGGCAAAATGTCAGGAGAGAATGCTACTGAAACATGGCCATAAAGCCCCCCAAAATTCACAGCAACCATGAAAGCCTTCGGCAACACAAATAATAATTTGGTTCAGTGGTAGCTCTTTCTCACATGTCAGTGGAGCAGTGGGCTTAATGAAGTCTTTAGTCTCCTCTGCCCAAGAGTGCTGGTGCTTTGGCAAACTACAAGCCCCAGGACTCCATAGCATTGAGTCATGGCAGTTAAAGTGGTGTCAAACTGCATTAATTCTACAGTGTAGCTGCATCCTCAGTTGTTGGGTAAAGGAAGATGAGTGATTTATCATTATCAGTTGTCACCATCATCATCTTTATTTATATCCCGCTTTTCTCCCTATGGGAACTCAAGGTGGCTAACATCTATCCACAATAAACAGTATAAGAAGCTGGGTTGTTGTGAGTTTTCCATGCTGTCCGGCCATGTTCCAGAAGCATTCTCTCCTGACGTTTTGCACAGTCTGTGTAAGGCATCCTCAGAGGTTGTGAGGTCTGTTGGAAACTAGGCAAGTGGAGTTTGTATACCTGTGGAATGATGTCCAGGGTGGAGGAAAGAACTCTTGTCTGCTTGAGGCAGGTGTGAATGTTGCAATTGGCTACCTGGATTAGCATTGAATGGCCTTGCAGCTTCAAAGCCTGGTTGATTGCTGCCTGGGGGAATTCTTTGTTTATTTATTTAGGGAATTTGTATCCCGTCCTATCTCAACCTCTGCAGAGGGACTCCGGACAGCTATTGACCATCACAACACAGTGCCAACAACAGAGTAAAACAAGCATAAATATACATATTATAATAAAACAATATAAAAACATTAAAACGATTTACCGATTTATGTCGTCATCCTAAAAACAGTCCATCATAGTCCATTAAAACCATATCTTTGCCAGCAAGTAAGTTTAATCTGCGAACGCTTGATCCCACAGCCAGGATTTCACTTTTTTCTGGAAGGTCAGGAGGGATGGAGCAGATCTGATCTCCTTTTGGAGGGAATTCCATAGCTGAGGGGCCACCACGGAGAAGGCCCTGTCTCTTGTCCGTGCCAAATGTGATTGTAATAGTGTTGGGACCAAGAGCAGGGCATCCCCAGATGATCTTAAGGTCCTAGGTGGTTCGTAGAGGGAGATATGTTCGGACAGGTTGTTGGGAGGTGTTAGCTGGCCCTGATTGTTTCCTGTCTGGAATTCCCCTATTTACTGAGTGTTGTTCTTTATTTACTGGATTCCCCCAGGCAGGAAGCAGCCAGGCTTTGAAGCTTCAAGGCCATTCAATACTAATCAAGCTGGCCGATAGCAATATTCCAACTTGCCTCCAACAGACAAGAGTCCTTTCTCCCACCCTGGACATCATTTCACAGATATATATAAACCTTCCTTGTCTACTTTGCAACAGACCTCACAACCTCTGAGGATGCCTGCCATAGATGTGGGTGAAACGTCAGGAGAGAATGCTTCTGGAACATGGCCAGAGAGCCCAGAAAACTCACAGCAACCCAGTGATTCCGGCCATGAAAGCCTTCGACAATACAGTTTAAGAAGCACAATACAAAAGTTAATAAACAATTAATTAATAACCATTTGGGGGTAAAAAAACAGAATTAAAATACAGTAAATACATTAAAATGGCCTTTAAACCTCATCTCAATAGGCAACAGGTTGACCAGGAAGTAAATAGTGCTCTGGGCACAATGGGCCTTTGGTTCTCTCCCGTGAGGCTGATTTTTTGTGCGTTTCCTCAAAGCAACTGGTTGTGTCTGTATTGTGCAAACTCACCAAGGGGCATAGGACGCTGCTATGAAGAAGTAGATCACCATTCTGTCAAACATGTGCAGGCAATGCTCCACAGTTCTGGAGGAGGCGAGAGAGAGGAAGCAAATGCATTGGTGCATATATCGAAATACTGATTTGCCTATTGATTAGCCTTCTGTCCATATCAACAGTAAAAGACAAAAGGCAAGTATGTCAAGACGCAATAAATGCAAATCCCTATCCTCACACTCCTGTAATCGTGAGCTAAAATACATTTAAGCAAATAGGACAGTTGGTTGTTCTAGCTAGAAGCAGTTGTAAATATTGAGATCTCGCCCCAGCACATAAACAACAATCAAACAAAATATGCATAATGTCCTCCATGGCTGGAGCACCTCAAATACAAGTTTTTTTGAAATCGTCCTGTTCTTACCATAGAGTAGTGGGGGTTGATTTTGTCATTTGGGAGTTGTAGTTGCTGGGATTTATAGTTCACTCATCAAAGAGCACTCTGAACTCCACCAATGATGGTTCACCTACCATCAAAGAGCACTCTGAACTCCACCAATGATGGTTCACCTACCATCAAAGAGCACTCTGAACTCCACCAATGATGGTTCACCTACCATCAAAGAGCACTCTGAACTCCACCAATGATGGTTCACCTACCATCAAAGAGCACTCTGAACTCCACCAATGATGGTTCACCTACCATCAAAGAGCACTCTGAACTCCACCAATGATGGTTCACCTACCATCAAAGAGCACTCTGAACTCCACCAATGATGGTTCACCTACCATCAAAGAGCACTCTGAACTCCACCAATGATGGTTCACCTACCATCAAAGAGCACTCTGAACTCCACCAATGATGGTTCACCTACCATCAAAGAGCACTCTGAACTCCACCAATGATGGTTCACCTACCATCAAAGAGCACTCTGAACTCCACCAATGATGGTTCACCTACCATCAAAGAGCACTCTGAACTCCATCAATGATGGTTCACCTACCATCAAAGAGCACTCTGAACTCCACCAATGATGGTTCACCTACCATCAAAGAGCACTCTGAACTCCACCAATGATGGTTCACCTACCATCAAAGAGCACTCTGAACTCCATCAATGATGGTTCACCTACCATCAAAGAGCACTCTGAACTCCACCAATGATGGAAATGAACCAAACTTGGCACACAGAACTCTCATGACCAACAGAAAATACTGGAAGGGTTTGGTGGGCATTGACCTTGAGTTTTGGAGTTGTAGTTCACCTACATCCAGAGAGCACTGTGGACTCAAACAATGATGGATCTGGACCAAGATCTGAGAAATGGCCTAATGCACCAGATGTATTATTCTTTATGTAGCCATCACTGATGGGTCAAGCAACAGAAGAGACAGAGATCAGCTTCTCCCCATGACAGCACTGTTGGTGTTGTAGTACAGCCCGAGGTTAATGTGTTCACTGATGATATAGAGAAAATGTGGGATTTCCTGAAGTACAAAGTGATGAAGATTCATGTCAGGGAAATGATGGCTCTCTCTGGGAGAAACCAGACTAAGAAAGTGCAGGGCTTCAAGTTCAGTCAGAGGAGCCAGAAACTGCAACATTAGATAAGGAGTCAGCCGAAGAGCTAAGTAATACGGAAAGCTCCCAGGAGAAAAACTTGGTGCTATGGAAATCAACAAAAGTCTTTCTTTACTACTGACTTTTTCCCACCACCACTTTCTTTTATGCACCTTTCTAGCTAATTAATTAGAGCAGAAAATAGGCAATGCTGGTCACAGTGATTATATGGGAAAGTTAGGGAGAAAATTCATGGGAAAAGAAATGACTTCATGGGTGCCTATTAATTAACTAGAAAGGTGCATAAAAGAAAGTGGTGGTGGGAAAAAGTCAGTAGTGTCTTTCTTTGCTGCAGAGATACAAGCAATATATTAATTTCCAAGCAAAACCGGCTTGTGAGTGATCATTTAATATTGCTATATAAACCCTACAGTCTTACATTGTTTACCTAAGGGTTAGTTCAGGCAACACAGCTGTCATGTATAATGTTCTGCAGTTGTTGTTGGTGGTAGGCCTAGCAGTTGGTGATGGAAGGGTTAATGTAAGTCTTAGTTCTAAGTAATCTGTAAGTAAGAGTTCTTGGGTGAAAGCAATTAAGGGTGGAAGTATGCAAGAGATAGGCTGCAGCTGGGTGTTTGTGGATAAAATGAGCTAGCCTGATCTTTGGGAGAAAAGTATTTGTCTTATTGTGGTGGTAGATGCTGCTGGTTTTCCTCCAGGTTTGTGGATTTTCGGTATTCTGACCTGTCTCTTGAACCCTTGAAACCCTGGAACCTTTAATCTTTGGACTGGCTTATGACTATGGTATAGACTTTACTCATTGAACTCTCCGCATTTGACCACTGGACTGGACCTTTTGACTATGGTGTATCTTGAACCTGCAACAGCGTTTGCTGTCAGTTTTGTTTTATATTCTGTGGCTGAGTGCTATCTTTATGTTTTATATTTTGAACTATTAAAACAGCCGGAAAGTAAGTGCTGCTTTAATTAAATTGTTTAACACAAACTAGGAGTGTGTTTGGTTCATCTCTACCTGAATAAGGCAGAGCCCTGGCATCGTGACAATAGCGAGTGAGAAGCTAGGTCTGATTTCTCTGGTTCTTGTTTCAAGTCAAGCCTTGGTCTTGGATTTAAGTATCCTAAAAGTTTTTTTATGTTCTTGCTTTTGTATTCTTGCTCCAGTTTTACTAAGTATACCTTTTGCTTGTGGACTTATGCTGCACTTGTATGCCACCCATGATGCCACTTGCACGGACCGAATTCTAGTTCAGACCAGACTACAATATAATAGTTAAAAATCCGGAAAATTGAAATAGACTGGGAGCAATCACGGAGAAGATCCTCTCCCTTGTTTCTAGAAGGTTATAGGGCAGACGATTCCTTCAAAAGCCTGGACTCAAATGAATGCGATCATCAGAAACCCAAAGGTTTCTGAATGCCTTGGTATCAGGTCATTCCTTGACATATCGGCAAATTAGGCATTAATTAACTGGATTGCCAACCTGCCCCTTCAGTCTTGATGGGGATTTGACATGTCCACCTTTGTCCGTGTTTGTATTTGGCAGCAGACTTACCTTAAGTGCCTCTTCTTCCAAGAAATGGTGTGAAAGATGGTGGAGACAATAAAGAGCCCCGAGAGGCCAAAGCCATAGATCCAGGCAGAGATGGCTTCCCATTGGTTGTCAGACAGGACATAGAGGATGGAGCTCCCCAGGATGCTTGGGATGATCCAAAACTAGAAAGGAAACATAGAAAGGAATAGATTCAGGACACTATGGTTGCTTTACCTCCCTTGTAACCTTTCTGGACAAGACCTTGGGTCCCATATAACCCAACTTGAAGACCCAGCTCCCATGTCCACATGAGTGTGGGCATCCAACTCACAGCACGCATGGCACACAACCCTACTTGAAGACCCAGCTCCCATGTCTACATGAAGGTGGGCATCCAACTCACAGCATGCATGGCACACAACCCAACTTGAAGACCCAGCTCCCATGTCCACATGAGTGTGGGCATCCAACTCACAGCACGCATGGCACACAACCCTACTTGAAGACCCAGCTCCCATGTCTACATGAAGGTGGGCATCCAACTCACAGCATGCATGACACACAACCCAACTTGAAGACCCAGCTCCCATGTCCACATGAAAGTGGGCATCCACCTCACAGCATGCATGGCACACAACCCAACTTGAAGACCCAGCTCCCATGTCCACATGAGTGTGGGCATCCAACTTACAGCATACTTGGCACACGACCCAGCTCCCATGTCCACATGAGTGTGGGCATCCAACTCACAGCATGCATGGCACACAACCCAACTTGAAGACCCAGCTCCCATGTCCACATGAAAGTGGGCATCCAACTCACAGCATACTTGGCACACAACCCAACTTGAAGACCCAGCTCCCATGTCCACATGAAGGTGGGCATCCAACTCACAGCATGCTTGGCACACAACCCAACTTGAAGACCCAGCTTCCATGTCCACATGAAGTGGGCATCCAACTCAAAGAATGCGTGGCACACAACCCAACTTGAAGACCCAGCTCCCATGTCCCCATGAAGGTGGGCATCCAATTCACAGCATGTGTGGCACATAACCCAACTTGAAGACCCAGCTTCCATGTCCACATGAGGGTGGGCATCCCACTCACAGCATGCATGGAACACAACCCTACTTGAAGACCCAGCTCCCATGTCCACATGAAGGTGGGCATCCAACTCACAGTATGCTTGGCACACAACCCAACTTGAAGACCCAGCTCCCATGTCCCCATGAAGGTGGGCATCCAACTCACAGCATGCGTGGCACACAACCCAACTTGAAGACCCAGCTCCCATGTCCACATGAAGGTGGGCATCCAACTCACAGCATGCGTGGCACACAACCCAACTTGAAGACCCAGCTCCCATGTCCACATGAAGGTGGGCATCCAACTCAAAGCATGCGTGGCACACAACCCAACTTGAAGACCCAGCTCCCATGTCCACATGAAGGTGGGCATCCAACTCACAGCATGCGTGGCACACAACCCAACTTGAAGACCCAGCTCCCATGTCCACATGAAGGTGGGCATCCAACTCACAGCATGTGTGGCACAGTTGGCAGCGTGTTCATACTCAGTTGGCTGGTACCTCTTGTTGGGTGGCACCCTGTGGTTCATAAACCTGGAGTAAGAGGCAGAAGAGAGGGAGAAGAAATCAGTCTGTGTCTGCTGGCAACGGGGACAAAGTCTGCCAAGGGCCGTTGGACTTATTATGCTCCGGGTATTTTTGCAGAAACGAGCGCTGGCCAAACGCTTGGCATGTGATGCTGGGAAAGACGAGAGCATATGTCAGAGACAAAGGAAGGGAGAGCATTTCTGCACACTGGACCATTACACACTGTGGCTGCAACTGGGAGGGATGCCAATGAATGGTTGAGGATGGCTGCTCGCTCCTCCTTTTTTCAAACGATTATGAGTATTTCGTTCCACGCTCTCCATAAACACATGCTAGGGAAAGAGAACCAAGATTTTTGCACAGTTTTGTCCTGGTATTCATGTTTTGCAAAGTGTCCAAAGAAACATTATTTGCAGAAGTACAGACATGTAATGTCAATGCAAAAGAAGGAGGAGAAGGAGAGAGAAAAAGAGGAGGAAAAGGAGGTTGAGGAAGAGAAGGAAGTGGAAAAGGAGGAGGAGAGGGAGAAGGAAATGAAGGCAAAGAGGATCAGAAAGAAGAGGAGGAGGAGAAAAAAGAAGAAGAGAAAAGAAAGGAAGTGGAGGAGAAGGAGGAAGGAGGAGGGAGGAGGAGGAGAGAAGAAGAGACCAGCAAAAGGGAGAGGAAGTAAAGGAGGAAGAGGAGAAAAGGAAAAATAAGACAAAAGGAGTAGACTCGCTAAAGTCCAGACATGTAATTCATACAACTTTAGGAGGATGGGGAGGGAAAGAAAGAGTATGATAGAGGAGGATGAAGATGAGATAAGAAGTAAAAGATGAAAATATGAAGGAGAGGGAAGGAAGGCAAAGATGTATCGGAAGTAAGAGGAGATGAGGAGTATACAGAAGAGTATAAAAAGAAAGTATTGAGGAAAGTAGGCAAGAAATTGAGGATGGATGAGAATGATACAGACCACGCAGAAGTTAGAGGAGTAAATTGGATAATAGGAGAAAAGAAAATAATATTTCTCACACCTCTCACACAAAATATTGTCTATATTTTCAATGCAACAGTGTGCATTGAAAGAACAACATAAAGAGGAGGAGTAGTAGGAGGAGAGGGAGGAAAGAATAATAGAGAGGAAGAAAGAGAAGTAGAAGGAGAGGGAGTAGAAGGCAGAATATCAGACGAGGGATGTAGGATGTAGAAAATGGAAATAGTCTGAGGAGTATGAGGATGAAATGAGGAAGAGAGGAAGGAGGGCACGAGACCACAGAAGGGATAGGAAGTAAGGAAGTGAGAGAGCAGGTGGAATAAAAGACAAAATGGTGAGACATAAAGTACCGTGACATGTATGTCCAATGCTCCTGAGTATTATATAAAGAGAGTCGGAAGAGAAGGATGAGTGGAGGAAGAGCAGACCAAAAAGATAGTGGAAAAGAGTATAGAAGGCGATTTATAGAAGGCAAATGTAGATCATAAGGAGATGAGAGGAGGATAAAAGAAGAAGGAAGAAGAGACTATTAGACCAGCATAAGAGGGGAGGAAGTAAGGAGTAAGGGAGAAGCAAATAAGACAAAATGTGAGAGAATAAGGAAAGAAGAAAGAGAGGGAGGAGTAACAATAGTTCTTTTGGTCTAGAGAGATAGAAACTGTTTCTTATAACTGTTGGAAATAGCAATCTTCTACAAGCCTACACTAGTAATTTGTTTGTTTCTAATTCAGATTGCTTACTGTATTGTAGATGTGTGTATTGTTGTGCAGTTTTCCTTAACTCTGTGTTGTGGGAGGGGCTGCAGACCATGTGATCAGAACTGGGATTATTCAGGGCTCAGACTCCATTTAGAAGTCAGCTGAAACAGACTATAGAGACTCTATTAGACTCTCAGAACTGAGAGATGCTTTAGACTATGGGCGGTTATTATAAGAATCATGTCTTGTGTTATCTGCACAAAGAAACTACGTCAACTCCTGTCTGTAACTGGATTGACATGCAAAGTACCTGTATGCTGAATACATAAAGTTTGTGAGTAAACCAGCCATGTTATTTTAACAGATACTGCTTTATTTTGGTCTCTTGAGAGTATGATTTAAATCAAGATGTTTTAAGGGAGAGTAGATGTTTTTGGGCAACATAGGGCCCTTCACACAAATCTATATCCTAGAATATCAAGGCTTAAAATCCCAAATTATCTGAGTGTGGACTCAGTTCAAAGCCTCAATCTCAGCCTCAGAAAATCCAATGATAGTGGTATCTTAGAGTCTCTATAACTTGAATCACGCACGCAAAATGAAAGAAGACCCTAACCCTTGGAGTACTCGTGGACAACAAGTTAAACATGAGCCAACAATGTGATGTGGCAGCAAAAAAAGCCAATGGGATTTTGGCCTGCATCAATAGGAGCATAGTGTCTAGATCTAGGGAAGTCATGCTCCCCATGCTCTATTCTGCCTTGGTTAAACCACACCTGGAATATTGTGTCCAATTCTGGGCACCACAATTCAAGAGAGATATTGACTCTAAGCTGGAATGTGTCCAGAGGAGGGCGACTCAAATGATCAAGGGTCTGGAGAACAAGCCCTATGAGGAGTGGCTTAAGGAGCTGGGCATGTTTAGCCTAAAGAAGAGAAGGCTGAGAGGAGACATGTAAGCCATGTATAAATATGTGAGAGGAAGTCATAGGGAGGAGGGAGCAAGCTTGTTTTCTGCTTCCCTGGAGCTTTATACAATGGCTTCAAACTACAAGAAAGGAGATTCCATCTGAACATGAGGAAGAACTTCCTGACTGTGAGAGCGTTCAGCAGTGGAACTCTCTGCCCTGGAGTGTGGTGGAGGCTCCTTCTTTGGAAGCTTTTAAACAGAGGCTGGATGGCCCTCTGTCGGGGGTGCTTTGACTGCAATATTCCTGCTTCTTGGCAGAATGGGGTTGGACTGGGTGGCCCAGGAGGTCTCTTCCAACTCTTTGATTCTATGATTCTATGAAGACAAGCATAGGCTTGTAGGGCGCATTAATGCACATGAATGGCCCTCCAATCCGATTTCCGAACCCCCTTTGCCTCTCCGAATCCAGGCCCAAGGGAACAAAGAGACCTTTGGCTCTTTCCCTCGGCCTCCCTCCCCTTTTGCCCCACGGATTTGCACATTTTTGCCTTGCCACAGCGCAACAAATACCTTGCAAACAACAGCGCATTATTCTCCTGGAACAGTTGCTAAGCAACCGCCCGGTCCTTTCCTAGGCCCTTCCCAATTTGGGTGCTTTTTGTCAGTTGCCAAAGGGGAGAAAATCCCTTTTCTGAATGTCCTAAGCTGGGCATCAAGGTTTCCACAGAAACATGTGTATTTTTTCCCAAAATAAATAATAATAATCTATTCTTCAGCCTTGGCGCAGGCTAATGATGGAGGTAATTAAAGCAATACCTGCAGATTTCCAAAACAGCCTTCGCAGGAAGCCAATTTAGCATAGTTTGCCTCATAGAAAGACCCATAGTATACTATGCAAGCCCATATAGAAGTCAAGAAATGAAGTCAAGCATGCCCCCCCCCCCCAAATAAGGGATGGTAACTTATAGTTCTGCAAAGGGCAAGGGTACCAGACTGCACAAAGGGGTTAAGTTTTGGTCAATTTGCCAAGACACTAGCAACAACAAGGACCCCATGAGGCTTTCAGGGAAGAGTCTGGCCCTGGGGTCCCAGTCCTTGGAGGAAGTTATAGTTTCCCAAGAACTAAGGACCAGCTTGATCTTGGTGCTGCAAGAATCCATTCCTTGGCTCAGTGGAGATCATCAAGCGCCCTTTTGTGACTGTTGGACCTCCTTCAAATTTCTTTTTGGCTCCAATGAACTCCTTTTCATATCCGAACTTCCCCAATATGAACTATGGACTCATGCTTCCATAAAATGAATATTTTAATCAATTTCTCTGGTGGGTGGAGGGAGGGAAGGGAGGTTTGATATGAGTTCCTCCTGGATTCCTATATTTCCCCATGTATTTTTCCTTGGCACCCCAACCCCTCGCCCCTTCCTCATGGGAGGGGGGAAACTCCTCAGGGCAGTGGTCAGCAATCGTAAGGACCATCAGCGAACACAGAAAACCCCATATCCTGGAACTCTGACATGAACAATAAGACTTGGAATCCCTATTTGATTTCAGAGTTGAGGCCATCAGACTGGAATTTCCTTTTGCAAACTTTTGGGTCATTTCACAATGAGAGCGAGATGACCCTCAGGAGGTCACCTTCCCAATTTTGTTTACTTCACTCATAGCCGATCTTGGAAGAGACCTCATGGGCCATCCAGTCCAACCCCCTGCCAAGAAGCAGGAATATTGCATTCAAATCACCCCTGACAGATGGCCATCCAGCCTCTGTTTAAAAGCTTCCAAAGAAGGAGCCTCCACCACGCTCCGGGGCAGAGAGTTCCACTGCTGAACAGCTCTCACAGTCAGGAAGTTCTTCCTCATGTTCAGATGGAATCTCCTCTCTTGTAGTTGGAAGCCATTGTTCCCTTGCGTCCAAGTCTCCAAGGAAGAAAACAAGCTTGCTCCCTCCTCCCTGTGGCTTCCTCTCACATATTTATACATGGCCCTCATCATATCTCCTCTCAGCCTTCTCTTCTTCAGGCTAAACATGCCCAGCTCCTTAAGCCTCCTCATAGGGCTTGTTCTCCAGACCCTTGATCATTTTAGTCGCCCTCCTCTGGACACATTCCAGCTTGTCAATATCTCTCTTCAATTGTGTGTGTCCAGAATTGGACACAATATTCCAGGTGTGGTCTAACCAAAGCGGAATAGAGGGGTAGCATTACTTCCCTAGATCTAGACACTATGCTCCTATTGATGCAGGCCAAAATCCTATTGGCTTTTTTTGCCGCCACATCACATTGTTGGCTCATGTTTAACTTTGTCCACGAGGACTCCAAGATCTTTTTCACACATACTGCTCTCGAGCCAGGCATTGTCCTCCATTCTGTATCTTGCATTTCATTTTTTCTGCCAAGTGGAGTATCTTGCATTTGTCACTGTTGAACTT